CAGAAGTGTTTGGTTGTGGTGGAGTGGTTACTGACCAAGTACTATCCTTCTTGCTAAACTTGCCCCTTTACAGTATTTTGACTACAGAGACCAATCAGGGATCTTGGGTTATTCAATCTATTGGTTCTTTCTTATTTTATTTGTATAAATGATGACAAATGGGCACTTTGTCATCCTATTACTGTGAGACTTCCTATTACTCGAAATTCCCAGCTAGTCTGCCATCTACCATTACTCTGTTTTCTAAGTCTTCTAATAGTTTATATACAAGGAACTAATTTTTCTTAGCAGAAAACAAAGATATTGCTAAAATATGTGTCAAAGAAAAAGTTATGGTGACTTAAAATATATAGCATTGATGGGTACATAAATAAGTGACTTAGACTCTGTAAAAAACCTTTCAAATAAGATGAAGACATCCATGAAGAAAAAGAGTTATTTCTCAAATGGTTTGGGGTAAACTATCCAATTATCTCATGAAACTTTGAATATTTACATCAAACATGCCCGCCTGAATCACTGAGCTAGTTTCTCTGTTAACAGAACTTTAAAGTGGGAAGTGGCTTTATCTTCTTAGTGTTTTTCGTTGTCATTCCTTCAGACATAAAACAAAGATTCAAGTGAGTCATGGGGGCAAATACCTTTATTGCCTCATGTGCAGTGTACATGACAAGGTAATCAGTTCATAACTTAAGGAACGGTTAAAATATAGGCAGCAAATATTTCTTCCACTTTTGAAATTTAACCTATTAGTGTATATGCGTTTACTTTTCTCTAATTAATTATTTCCTTAGGAATTTTGAATTAAAATCAACATGAATATAAGTGTTATTCCCATGGCCAGTTACTGGCAGAATTACAGGATGGATATGAGTGACATTTATCATACAAAGTTAGAAAGAATTGGAATTAAGACTTTAATAAATTAGTAGAGAAGTAAAGAACTTAGAATTGATAACATATCCACCATGTAAAAATGTGTTTGTGAGAGAAGGAGTCAATATAGTAATTTGTTTTTATGAACTCTGTATTAGACTACTTGCCTTCCACAGGGTAGGCTCCATCTTTCCCGCATTTTATTCAAGAAAATAACATTGAAATTGTGAAATATATATGCACTGTATGTTTTCTGAATAAACAAATGAGTACATAAGACACATAAAAAGAAATATGCATTATTAATTGAAAATTATGGTAATAAAAATTGAAGCGCTATTCAAACTTTTTATATATGTTAGACTACATAAAGTGTTAGAATATATTAGAATGATGTTCTAATGAGATGGAAGCTTCTCAATATAATTAACTTATTTTTATTTATGTAAAAATCAAAGTGAACACTTTGTTCAGTCTCTGTCTTTTTTTAATAGAATCCTAGCTATGATTTAAGAAATGATTCATATTTTATTGACTAAAGGGATCACATGACTTTCTTTGATGTTATTTATTGAAAACCCTTTTCAGGCTCAGCACATCTCAAGGGTATTGTATGAGTTACAGAATTAGATGCTTGGGAAAATGTTACAATATATGAATTAAGACAGGCTTTCATCAATATCCCTGTCTCTGATATTCTTAAGTGTCAGACAGATCCCCTCAGTTTAATCTTTAATTTAATTTATCATCCCTTTTATTCTCAATCACTAAATAATCACTGAGAGTCAAAGATTAACCTTGAACTTCTTTAGCCATAAAAAGATATGAATTCCTAATGGAATTTATGTGTTCACCGTATCCCCTTTAATGCAATATTTCACAAGTCTCTGGGGACAAAAATATATTAGGAAATAGTATCAAAAGATTTATCCATAAATTGCTAGTTGTTTTAGCAAAATTAATTTTACATCAATGATACATAGTTCCACCTTCTGTTTGTTGCCTTTAATAAAAGTAAATAGAACAATTGGCTCTAGTACAAATAAATAGAACAATAATAAAAATAACAATTGGATCAAGTATCTGTTTAGCCTCCAGAGAATGAGGTATTGGACATACATGCTAAATCTCCAAATCAAGAAAATATAAATACATAAATCCTTTGGGTCCTTTCTTTATATATTCTCTCTGTAAATTTCCCTATATCCTTAAAATGCAAATAAGTCATGTATTTCATATCTGTACATTATAAATTCATGTGGCGATCCTGCATGATTTTCTAGATGCCATTCTATTAAATAGTCTGTTATTAAATACTATTGCATTATTTCATTACCACCTTCTGAGATCAAATTCTTATTGTGAATCCATTGAGGAAAAGTAATGAAATGGCAGCAAGTAGTATTGATTATTGGGGTGTTAACCATAAGTGCAATGTGATGTTAATGTTTTCTCCTTTGCTACTCATCCATTATTGTGATCTATTAAATCATCCTGTTGCTGTTTCTTTACTGTTGCTATGATAAATAACCTGAAAATAGCAACATAGAGAGAAAACAATTATTCTGTTTCACATTTCAAGGGTACAGTTCATCCTGCAGGGGAAGTCGAGGCAACAGGAGCATGAACCAGCTCCTTAAATTCACAACCCCAAGCAGATATGCTGAACTCCTGCAGCTCTCTGTCTTCATTTTTATTGTACAGGATGCAAACAAGCAACAGTGGGCAGGTCTTCCTATCTCCACTAGAACAGGCAATGCCTGGGGCATCAATATCCTGTTGATTCAAGTTCTCTGGAAAGCTAGACCCAAAACACCACAAAGCAGCTTGCAAAAGCAAAGCCTTCTGAGTCCCAACTGGCTTGTCTGTCAGCTTAATGTGGGTGTTGTTTGTATTTGTCCATTAGGGTTATGGAATATGTTAGATCATGGTACTGTTCTGAACCATTCACATTTTTAGCCTTTTACATTGCTTATTGAACCTTCAATATTCTAAGGAAATAACTGCATATATCGCTTTAAAATTAACTTTTTTCCATTTTTATTTGAATTAGAAACAAGATTGTTTTACATGTTAATCCCAGTTCCCTCTCCCTCCCCTCCTTCCCTACCACCCTCCCCCTTCAACTAAAACCCTATCTATCACATAACTTTTCTGCTTCCCAGGGAGGGTGAGGCCTTCCGTAGGGGCTCTTAAGGGTCTGTCATATCCTTTGGGATAGGGCCTAGGCCCACACCTGTGTGAATTATATTCTGAAACTGGTATATCTGGTTCACAGATATTTATAGTTTAGAAAAGTAAAAAATACTGTGAGTATGCAAGAATATAATGTTTGAAATCTGACTCAGGTGGACCAGTATCACTTTCTTTCCATGTTCAACTCGCTGCACGGAAATAACTGATTCCCCATTAATCCTTTTGCCTCTTTTTTCTTTCTCTGTGTTAATGAACAAAACTCTTTAGGAGGAATGTATTACCAGAATAATTAGATGCAATGTGTAAAAAGTAGGAAAGAGGTGTCCAGAACTATAAACTCAGAAATCCCATAATTTCTTTCAGATTCTTATCAATGCTAGGAATCTTGCATAAATTCAAGGACAGGTGGATTTAACTGCACATGCTAAAACATGTTCACTGCTAGTCTCACTGTTGTGCCCAAATTCTGAACCCCCAAATCACCAAGAGGACCATTTCGATGCAAAAGCAGTCTTTTATTGCAGCTGTTTAATGAGCTAACCCCATTAGCTAGGGCATTTCATCCATCCTCCTTGGTGGATGGCTGGATAAAGACCTAGAGAAACCAGGAAACAGGGATCTTATACAGCAACATAAGGGGAATGTCTAGGGGTACGCACAGACTCAGGATTGGTGTGCCTCCAGGCTTGGAAGACCTGCCCTGTGTTGATTGGCCAACTGGTTGTTATGGCCCATAGGCTCTCCCAGGGCAGTTGCTATGCTCTGTCACTGTTGTGCAGGTATCCTTATAGCACACTGAGAGTCCTAAAGCACAGCTCCGCTAGCTAACTTCTGATTGGTTCCTTGCCTCCTACCTAGCGACCAGAGTAGCCCCAGCAAGATCAGGCAACCATATGTTAGCCTGTCCTGGCTGCCAAAACAGTATCCCACCAATATTGCTTTGTTTTGTGAAAATGTGTAGATGGTTTTAGGTGAGATAAACAACAGCATGGATGTTCCACTGTTTTTGTTTTCTCTGTTTTTTTATTTTTAATTGATTCTTTGGGAATTTCACATCCCAATCCCACTCATCTCCCAGTCCTTCTGTATTCACCCCTCCCTCTTGTAGTATCTGCACCCCCGCAGGAAAGCTAAAAAATAAAAGGTAAAAATAAATAATTTTTTAAAAGAAAAACATTTTGCTTCTCCATCTTTCCCACTTCACCATCACTTCTTCATTCATCTAGTGACATTAGGTATCATGTAATATACTCTTTTGTCCAAACAGCTTTACTAGCAAATGTTTATTGTATAAGGAGTTCTTGGTCAGGTTCAAGGCTTCTGCTTTGGTAAACCATAACGGGACCCTCACTGAAACTCCTCTCAGATATCCTGTTGTAGTCGGGAGTCATGGCGGTCCTGCGATTATGATTTCTCAGGATCAGTCCCTTCGCACACAGGTTTAAAGATGGGATAGATGATGGGGTTTGCCTATTTCAAGTCCTGGATGTGTGCCTAGGTGGCTGCTGAGTTGATCAGTCTAGGCCACCTGGGCTGCTCCTCTCAGCTGAAGGGCAGAGCCAGTTCCTCTCAGCTTAGGGGCAGAGCCAGATCTCCCAGGGTGGAGTGAGGGGTGGGGCCAGCTTTCCTGTGCTTGGGTGTCTCTTATCTTAAGGTTTTGGGTCAGCTCTCCTGGTGGTTGGTGCAGGGATAGGTCACTGGCTAAGAGATTCTGTGAGGCCAGGCTGTGTTGGCACATGCCTTTAATTCCAGCATCGAGACCAGCCAGGTCTACAAGAGCTAGCTCCAGGACAGCCTCCAAAGCCACAGAGAAACCCTGCATCGAAAACCCTCCCCCTCCAAAATAAAGAGATCTTGTGCCATGCAATAATTCTTCTCATTATTAAAGCCTTTACTTATTCCACTTATGTGAGTCTCTTTAATTTCAGACAGACAAAGGACTGTCAGAAGTATGGCAACAAAGCACGCCAAACCCTGATAATCAGTGGCAAAAGGCCACCATCCTGCTGGGAAAATTGAGGAATTTTGAGATCATCTTTCAAGGCATCAGAACAAAGGATCTAGGAGGTGGAGCTGCAATTGATGATATTGAATTCAAGAACTGCACAACTGGTGAGTGTCTGTGAAGCCTTCCTATTCAGAAACACACTTAGAGTGTGGCTGCTTTCATCTTTACTGTTTATAAAGTGTTCTCATCCTATGAATTTTGTCTGTACACACAAATCAATTGAAAAGTGTAGTTTAATAGCTGTAAACTTTAAAAACCTATTTAAAAAGTAATATCTGTCTAAATTCATTTTGCTAATATAACAACTTGTGTCATAAACTCTGTGTCTAAGGAAAACAGAAACTAACTGCTCACTTGTCTAGATGCCCGGAACCCCAAACCATTTGCCAGTTCATGGGACATTTGGAGACAGAACATTTCTGCTGGGTTACATGGCAGAAGGAAAAATTTTCTCTCCAAGGCTATGTTTGTATATTAATTCCATGTTGTCAGCTCTATCCTCATAATCCACTCACAACCTCAAATATTCTACCTTCTAATAACAGCATTGGAAGTTAGTGTCTCAATGGGACATTAAATGGGATTAAGATAGTTTGAGTTGCAATACTTTCTCGTTGTTCATTTGCAAAAAAATAACTCCACTTCCATACCATCAAGTTTCTGCCATGCAGAAGTTTTCTCTTTTAAATGTATTTACAACACAATATAAAATGTAAAGTCTGAGATTTATATACACATCTTTAGATAAAAGTAACAAAAAAAGCCAATAAAACAGAATAGAAACTGGCTGCTAATGCATGCATGAGAAATAAATTTAAGTTCACATCAAGCAGAGCCTGAAGTGGGAGCTATGCTTAGGGGATTTTAAAATGCTGCTCCAAGATTAGACCTGCATTCAAACAATATCAAAGAATTCTGCAATCCTTTCTCACGTCTAACTGTGAAGTCTAGCTACAGATTTTCTTCACAGAACTATCTAGTAAATGTCAAAAATAATTATAAATAAGTTTGCACAGTTTCAGTTTGCAAAATTCTTTAAGAGGAATTCTTTGGTTTTACTTCCAAAATAGTCCTGTGTGATACATGCTGCCAATGAAAGACACTCCTGTGGCTTTCTGCTCCGGTACACTTAGACACAAGCCTCTTGGGAAGATGAACTAATCCTGTATGTGAATTAATCTCACTGTTGCTCTCATATTAAAGTATCATTTCACCAAGGGAGTTCAAAAAAGCAACTTTGGTATGACTGATATTATCTGTCCATCTTATGAGTACTGCTGCTTCAAACTTGTCTGGTTCATCAGAAACAAACCTTTTAAAACTCTGCTCCTCTCCCACTATTATTTCTAGACAAGGCAGGTGCTCCTCAGTTGCCTGACATATGTACAGGAATGGCGGTCTCTTCACGTGTGCCCTATGATCTTGGGAGCACATAGCTCTGGGTGTGTAAGACGTCCTAATAGGACTTGGAGATGTTTAGGATCTGATGCTTCAACAAATAAAAGTACAGTTATGCACAATAATAAAGAGAAGATATTCTTAATTGTCCTTCATTAAATAATTACTTAGTAAATTTCCTAGTAATACATTGATTAGGGATCAAATTCATTTTTTTAAATAAACCTGAAGAATGGCTCTATTATGTAGTTTGTTCTAGCTTACAACATGAAATATGTGTCTTTTTGGACAAGTTACTATAGAAGCAAACAAGTAACACACAGCAAAAGATGATAAAGTTACAGCCCATTCTTATTCTAGCTGCTTTAAAAATGATCCATATTCAAAGCTTATAAAGTTCAACATCCATTCATAAGATAGAGGAAAAGAATATTACTGAAAAAGAAAGAAATGTCCAGCTTTATAGTTATAAAAGTTCTTAATTCACAGGGATACCCATTTCAACTAATTACAATATAAGTATAACCATTTCCTAATTGTAACCATTCACCTAATGCAGACGTTACTATTAATGCTAAGTAGCATTTGTACCCAATTTTGCAAGAAGATCCCTGGACACACACGTGTTCTCTTTTTCTTATCTAAAAGCAAGTGACGTAATTTTTTGCCTTATTTTTCTTACCTGTAAAATACCAGTGATGGCATTCCTATTTCATAAGATGCACATGAAGATTCAATTACTAACTAAATAAAGCATATTAGGAACATTTGGTGTCTTAATAGTTGTTATCTTTAAAAAAAACATACAAACAACAGCAAAAGGCTAAAAATTGTTTTAGTAGTGAAAAATTCTGCATCAACAATCAGTCTGATTTTCTTAAGCCCCCAATTTCCACATGCTTGGCAATCTATTGATTACTCAGTTTGAAGAAAATTCTGCAAGATTCAATGCATATCTCTTCATAACAGGGATGAATGTGTCCCTTAATGTTCCGGCATATGGATTTTTAATTTCCCATTTCATAGCATCATTCTTGATTCTTATCACCCCTCACACACTGCCAATGTGTTACCTCTGGATAGTCTATTTCCAGGACTTGTCTGTAAACTACCTCCAAGACACCAACAAACCTAGGTTCGCACTGTAAAACATAAATAGTTCTATAAATTATTCCATCATTTTCAGAAAATATAAAACTCCAAGTGAGTCATTGCCAGCTTCCAGGGCAGGAAAAAGGAATGATAATATTTAGGGAATAGAAAATATTTCCAGAAGTCAATACAATATACTAAGTTGAAAAAATTCTACTTTATTTTTCCATAAATTCAGAATAGTCAATCCTATCACACCCACCAAATAAGCCTGACTACAAAAAAATGAAATAATGTGAAGGACCATGTGAGAATGTAGCACCAATTTTACATTGGTCTAGTACATTGTCTTTGCACCTAATCTGAAGAAGACGTTCTCTTTTGTTACACTTTCATGCCTTTCATTTTACCTCTCAAAACCTATAAAGACTCCTGACTATTCCTGGAAAAAAGTAAGTGATCTGAAGGGAAAACGGGTGGCATGATGATCGGCCCTGCATCACCTTTGATTACCCTGAAATTGGGAGATCACAAAGTGTGATTGCTGTGTATAAAGTTCATAAATAAATAAATCTATACACAGAATCCAATAGAATTTGGTGTTAAGGTATAATTTATACATTCTGTTTATGTAGTAAGTTCTGTTTCTGCTCAATGTATGAGTGTCATATTATTTTAAAATAAATACTAGAGTAGAGAAAAATGATGCCAAGTGGAAAAAGTAAACATCTCACCCTATTAAAATATTAGAAATTACTTTTACTCTTAATAATAAACATCTATAGTGTTTGTGACTTTGTAATGTAGGAATAAAAAAGTGATGTTTATAAGTGGAAGGTGGATGGATAGAAAAACAGTTGAAAATATATCTATAGAGACTATTTGTACAAGTATTTTTATGACTAATTTATTATTTATTTCCTTTTAAAATTTAATTTAGAAAGAAGCTTGCTTAACATGTTAATCCCAGTTCCCTCTTCCTCCCCTCCTCCCCCGCCCCCAACCAACCCCCCCTCTGTTCCCCAGGGAGGGTGAGGCCCTCCATGGGGGATCTCAAAAGTCTCATATCTTTCAAGGCAGGGCCTAGGCCCTCCCCCATGTGTCCAGGCTGAGCGAGCATCTCTTCATGTGGCTCCCAAAGTCCATTCCTACACCAGAGATAAATGCTGATCTACCACCCGAGGCCCCATAGATTGCCAAAGCCTCCTCACTGACACCAGAGTTCAGGGGGTCTGGATCAGTCCCATGCTGGGGTCTATGAGTTCCCCCTTGTTCAGCTGTTTCTGTGGGTTTTCACCAGCCTGGTCTTGACCCCTTTATTCAAATCTTTATAAAATATAAAAAATAAGAAAACATCTTTTTTCAAGAATTTTTATTCTGGCAGCAGTATGAGGTACTTAAAATAACATCCATCCAGTGTTGTGCCATTCAGTGATAACAGGTGTCATAAATGACATAAAAAGAAAGTGATTAGAGTAGTAAGAAACACTCAATTTGAGGGTTGCAGTTGGGCATTCTAAATAAAAGTAGAAGTCAATCATGAAGACATTTATGGAAAGAATAACCTTGAGATGGGAAGATTTAAGTAAACACATTGCTAGAACAGAATAATGGTATAGAGATAATTATGTGTATAGAATGGCATATAGAATTTTTCATTCAAATCTGTGCTTTCTATGTACAAATAGACTCTCCCAGAAAGGGGACTAAACAAGGAGATGGTAGAGGGAGATTTCTTAAGTGTAATTTTGGCTCTGGAGAATATTGAACAAATCCCATAAAGTTGTCCTTATTTAACTGTTGGAAATAAAATTAGCACCTACCCTATAGGATTGATTTGAGGACATAACATATATATATATCGTGTGCATTCAGCATTAATACTTCATGTTAACTATTCTGCCAACATTAAATGATGGGCAGCATAACCATTTAAATTAATCCTCACAACTTCTGAAAGCAAAGCATAGAAAATTAGCCAGATTGGTTTTCCTTCTAATAGTTAATGGTAACTCCCCATTGTTAAGATACTCCTAAAAAATCACATTGATTACCTGCAGGTAAAAAGCAGCTACCGAGCATATGACAAATGGTGGTCAGTATGAATGATTACTAAGTTTTCTGAGTCCAATAAAGCAGAAGTGTCAGCTATGCAATGAGTTCCAGGAAATGAATGTATTACAACCTAAGGTGATGAAGAACAAGCAAAGTCTAGGGTTCATAACAAACAGGATTGGCATGGCCAGGGAAATCTGTCCAGCACTGATGGAGACTCATTCTAACTTCACATTCACCAATTGTCCCAATTGTTCCACAGTTGACAGTCAAGGGAATAATGTCTTCCTTGGAGTTTATTCTCTAGTGAAAAGGACACACTTGGCAACAGTATAGCAAGATACTTGAGAAACCAGAGATGGACCATGGGAAGTCCCAACCCCTTTCTTCTCTCTTAACTTAGCATGATGCCTTCTCAGGAACTTCATCAGTTATGAGAGTTGATAACTTATGGCCATCAGGAATACTCTCCTACAGAATCTTTGTTTTTCTCAAACACTGCAAACCTGTCAAAGGAGCATCAAACATATCTGTGTTTCTAGCATTCATGGTTTGTAAT